TGCCAGAATTTGTCCATCCATCAGCATAGAAAGAGTGAGACTTCTTCCCAAGAGTGGCCCCAAACTAGAAACTGCCGTCTTGCAGGAGCTCTAAGGGCAAAGCCCGCCAGCTGGTTTTCATACTCAGAAAACAACAAACAGTTGAGGACGGGATTTCCAAACTTTTGCTGAAGGAAACAAGTTAGGGAGTCCCTGAGCAAACTTTGGGCTCTCCAAGAAGTCACATCAGTCATTCTCTTTTTTTTTGCGACTGCTCTCTGGCGCATCCACCAACGAATGACTGGGGTGCCTCCTTCATGTCTTCAGTCATCATCACCCAAACCGAACCTTTTCACCCAAACCAAGGGTCTTCTTTTCGTTTGCCGGGCGCCAAAAAAAACGGTCTCCAAGTTCGTCATGGTCATCGGTCTCCTCGGGGTCGTCATCCTCTTCTTCCTCTTCCCCCTCCTCGTAGTACGAGACATCGTCCTCCTGGAACAGCCGAATTGATCACCAACGTACCGTTGTATCGGATATACTACATGCACACTTTTGAACAACCAAACCTGGACCTAGCCTCCTCAGATGGTGTTCCTCTCCTGTCTACAATTTACATAAAGAATATGTTTTCCCTTCAAACCTTCCTTATCCATCATTTGTAGCCAAACACATTGTGTCACCATGTCTCGCTGGGGTGCAACAGGAAGTCGCTTGAGTCGCTGGGGTTTTAGCAGGTGGCCTCGCGGACGGCCGCCTTTCTCTTGCTGTCGTTGTGATCCATGGGTGCCAGAAGCCAACCACCCCAGTTTTGTCCATTTTCGTAAGAGGTTGGGGCTGGGGCAAGAGTTGCAACTTGTCCAGAATCGCCCTGAAGAAAGGCTTCCTGTATATTTCCTTGGTTGATTCTTCTGTGAAGATTGACCCTTGTCCACCGGATCTGAATGATTTAGTAGGATTTAGCAGGGAAACCCATGTTCCTCAAAGGAAGGCAGCTTGACCACGTGGCCAGGGTGGTTTCTTCATAAACGGTTCCAAATTGCACAGCGGTGAGCACCGGTCATGCGCATGACACATGCCTGCGTGATCACAGTTTTTTCGGAGTGTGGGTCAAGCGGTCAACCCAACTTCAGCAGTTTCTTCTTGTTTGACCAAAGTGGGACACGTGGACGATTGACGAATAGCAACTTCAAACCTGAGAATTGCTGGACCAAGTAGGTTTCGCATTGGGAGAACGACAATGATGCTAAAACCTGGGGTTGACCCTCTTGGATAAATTTTGGGATCCAGGATGACCCAAGTGATTCCAAGTAGGTCTCTCCAGTGTCAACCCCGTGCCACGTGTGGCCACCCAATAGCTTTCTATAGCTGCTATAGCTTTCTTGTATGACTTGACCATGATATGATCGTAAATGAATATCCTGTAGCCGCTGTAGCCATCTGTAGCCTGTACAGTAACTCAGTACAACCAAAAAATCCTAAAAGTGAAAGTACCGGGGTGATCTCTCGAAGCAAGTCAATTATGAGCTTCTTTGACCAACTTCTCAGCATGTGCCTATCAAGCAGAATCTGGGACCTCAACCTCAACCCTGGGGCTTTGCATGGATTCACACGAAGCGAAAACTTCAATCAAGGGATTGCATAGTGATGGAACCACAGAATTCTCAACTCAACAGCCCACACAGATCCACACAGTTTCTATGCCTCGTCTGAGTCGCGTTGAACTCAGCTTGTTTCCCAGTTCTCCCAAGCCCTCCTCCTGCTTCACCTCGGGCTTGGCCTCGGCCTTCGCTTCAGGCTTTTGCCTCAGTGTACTGTGAAGAGAGCGCCGAGAGCGCTGGCCGGGCGACGGGCTTTGGAGCTCAGCTCGGATGCGGTCCGCCGGATTCCAAGGGTCAAACCTAGGGAAGATCAAATCGCTCCAAAAAAAGCACTCCATGATACTCAATGCTCCAGGGTTTTGTCCACCAAATGTGCTGCTTTATCTGGAACTTACAACCGTTCCACCCTGTCTGTATCAGTCACATTTGGTTCAGAAAAAAAAGACAACAACACATGTCTTTTGATCCGCCTCATTGGAAGACCTTGTTCGACGTCAAAGAGTTGGAGGATTTGGTCAGTGTCGAAGATTAGCATGGAACCTGAAAACCACTGGGTTGTAGAGGAACATAGTCTTCCAGGAGGTCCATTTTCAGGTTCCATGTTAATCTTCCCGCATATACACCTGTCCACTCCCCCCCGAACGCAAAAAGGAGGACTTGGAGGATGCTCTTTACCAGGTGAAGTCTATGTCGAGCGTCTGGCCAAAACCGTCGGGTAAGAAAGGTTGGAGACATCGCTTTGTCCAGCCCCAGCCACATCTTGAACAAAGCTGAATACGTCAAAAGCATCTAAGAGCTGCGTTGCCGCGTTGCCCACTTTTGAGGGAGACCAATCGCTTCCAGGTTTCAGCCAAGCTTCAATGTTTGATCGTCGCAAGTCTTTTCGCGGTTGCTCAATGTGAATGTTGGGAATTGATCTTCCACGCATAGGGTTTCTGTTCATTCGAAGATATTCGGAGTAGTTTTTGGAATCGCATGTCCTTCTCTGCTCCGGTCACGCGCGTCAATCTTCGGCTCTCCCTTTGCATCCCCAAGATGTCTGAAGAGTGTACTCTGACACACTGCCATGTGGTACGTAGTTCAAAGGGCCATGGGAAGACAACTGTTGTCATATGTTTTTTCTATTTTAAACAATGCACTTCAAGTCTATGTTGGTGAGTTGGAGGGAAAGTTAAGTCTCAGTTGAGGATTGAACAATCTCAAGCAGAGTCAGTCAAGCTAGCAGCTGCACGCTCATCTTTGTCCGCTCAAGAAGAACACTCCTAAAAAACTGAATATCACTGAGAAGCCAGGCAGATTGCATACGAGGAAATCAAAGCAAACCAAAACCCTGGACTCTCCAGCAGGCTTCTAACATGGGTGCTTACTTTCATACTAATTTAGTAGTACCTATGTACCTATGTACCTATCTGTCTCCATAGTGGATATGAACACCAATGACCACCCTTTAAATGCATGTCTGCCTGAGTCCTCAAGGACCTTCAGACTCCTCGGGGCTTCCGAAACGGGCCCGGCGACCCGACCCGAACAACGGCGACTGCGACCAGGTCGATCACCGGACCACGGACCGGACCGTCCGTTTCGAATGTCTTCAGCTGACGGGACGAAAGACGGTCTTCAGCTGATCTCGTTGACACCACGAAGCTACGTCCGTAACAAGAAGCTACTATATAGGGGCTCCTGGCCTTACGAACGGAGCAAGAAGCTACTCGTAACAATGGCATTACTACTAGTAGCAAGGACGCTATTAGGTGGAGGCCATCGCAAGTCGGTTGGCGGCCATCGCTACTAGGAACAAGAAGCTACTAGTAGCAAAGAAAAAAACACCCTGTGCCGTGGGGTTCTCGTGCATCGGACAGGCAGGCACCAAGCTATGGACCAACACCAATGCTTCTGGTGCAAAAATGGTGGCAATATGTGGCATGTTCATGTTCGCCTAAGGAGAAAGAAAAAGAAAGAACATGGACCGGGAATCCCTTTGGCTGAGAATCATACGAATCTTTGAGCATCTGCAATTGGTATGAAACTGCTTTCCCGCTCGGCAAACAACACCTTTGTAACCTCTGGCAAACAACAACCCTTTGCACCCAAACGATCATCCCTTGCTCTTCCACAAAAGGAATAAGCCTCCAATCTTGGTGCCGTGCCTAGCTAATCCTACATCATGATTCGTCCCGAGGCGCTTTGGCCCTCTGCCACCGGCGTGCTGGGGTGCCCAGAACCACAGGCGCTGTGCCACCGCTGGCATCGTCCCTCTGGACCTGCAAGAATGCCAAGTGATCAAAGAGAATGGACCTTGGGCACCTGTCGCGGGGAAGGATCCATGTTCGAAAACCATGGAATTGGAGACATGGCAATTGCATTTGGGGGTTACACCTCGTTTGAATAATCGGGTTTGATCTTACCACAGCAATCCGAGTGCCTCATGTTACTGGTGTGGACGTGGAGCCTTGTCTCCAGAAAGCCTTCAACAAGCTACCACGAAAGCCTTCAGAAGGCGTCGAGTCCCTGAACCCATCCTGCCAGCCCGAAGCGCAAGCGCCGCGCCTTCGGTGACCAGTCTTCGTCCTTCACCTGGCGGCCTTTGCCCTTGTTGCCCTTGGCATCCTGCCGCTGCCCCTTGCCGCTGCTCTTGCCGCCCTGGCCGCCCTTGTAAGCTTCGCAGCGCCCTTGCTGCCCCTGCCGCCCTTCTGAAAGCCTGAGCGAGAGAGTGACTCTGAATCAATGTGTCAAGCAGGTCTCACCTTAACCCCCAAGAATAGCCTCCAAACCTGCCAAATCTCAAACAAGGACTGCATGGTTTGTGTGGCCTCCATGTTTGCAACTACAATCCTGTCTTATCTATGAAACATCCACCTCCATGCAACCAAACTGTCAAACAAGAGCTTCTGTTTGATGGCGCTTGAGTCACTCTGACATTTTTTTCACCACATGGATCTGAGTGGCATTGACTTGCGCGGCTGGGAGGGCGCTCTTTAGAGCGCCCAACCGCACGGTGTCCTTCCGCAGGGGGTGAAAAGTGGTGAAAAGGGCATTGCGGGCATGTGACCTCACCCAGTGACACTGACAATCCAAACATCACTCCATTCAGCCACGCCGAGCCATTCGGCTTCTGTTGGTGTTTTAGGCACATGCCACGGACGACACAGGCCGAGCCGTTTCGACGTGAGCCGCGTCGCAAGATGTGAAACCGAATCAGCTCCGTGGTGCAGTGCCCACGGTGTTGGTGGATCGAGCTCAGGCCATACCTCGTGTTGGATGTGAAATCGCAGCGTGCGTTGGATGACTATGGCAGCCTATGAGTCATCCAATGGCCAACGATGCCGCATATGTCATCCCCTCTTGTCTCAACACGTTCGCCTCGCCTCCACCCATATCCGTGGGCGCTGATTCTTCAGACCTTCCGCCCTCAGAAGACAACGCCTACTTGGAGAGGATGGCCAAAGCTTTCTCTCCCATGAGGTCGCCCATCTTCCTCACGTCACGTCTGCCACCGACCGCGGGAACGGTATGCTTTTCGGTGGTCGTTTGGGGCCGGTGGTGCTCTCTCTCTCCGATGTTGGGGGCCCGGTGGATGGCGAGTCCATTTCGGTGCATTGTATGGTCCATGAAGAGAGCAGGATCAGATCGGAATCAGGGCGGTTTCAGATCGGACATCCCCCTGGCGCGAAGGAGTCAGGTCAAGGGGGGGGGCATAGATGAATGGCGATATTATTGTACCAACTAAAGGTTCTAGAAGCTGAGAACCAACATGTCACTTATTTGCAGGATAGACCATGATGGGGTCTCAGAGCTGCTGCATGTGTTTTCTTCACCCTGGTCGACCATCCAGGACGCATGTGCTTTCCGCTTCTAACCTCGTGCAAATCCAAAGTTATTGCAAACCCATCTTGTCATTGTCATCTCCAGCACTATGCTACATCCAATTGTCATAAGTACTAGCTTTTGGGATTCTTGAAATACAAAGACCTGCCACGACGACTCTTCTAGGGAGGACATGTGAAGCTGTTCATGTCCTTCCTGCGCCCAGGTTTGCGTATGTCATGTTGTCGCTGTTCGCGGCTCAGCATCAATCCCATTAGATCGGGGGCTATCTACGACAAAGTAACACCTGGGGTCAGCTCCACGAAAGCTTGCCCAACAAAAGCTTACCAAGTGTCTTGGCCTCAGCCTTGTCTTCATCGGAGATATCATCCCAACTGGCATTTGGGGTGTCATCCTTGCAGTAGGCGGCCAAGCATTTGGAGATGCCCACGCAAGAGCCTTAGCATGGTGAACCATCACTCATAGACTCATAAATAGATTAAATAGATAATATAACACCTCTCACTCTCCACTCTCTCCACCTTCTTTGTGCAAACCACCCACTTGTTCTTCATCTCAAAAGGGTGTCTCAATTCAGTGACGCCCCAACTTTCCATGCGGCTCGGCCCCTGGGCCGGTTCGTGTCCTGTCGCCCTAGACGGTCGTGTCCTCCGAGCCACAGTTGAACTCGCCCACGATCCACTTCTCGTCCTCCGCCTTCGTGCCGACGGGCGAAGCGTTGATGAAGTCCGTGGTCCACCAGAGCGGCAAGGGCTCCTCCGCCAAGTCCAAGGAAGGCATCACATGCGGCAGGTCCTTCCTGAAGCGAATCCACATCCATGAGGGTCTTTCCTGTTTTCGATATTTTTTGATGGGTGGATGTGTTATTGAATGTTGAAGGCGTGCAAAACACAACTAACACCAGAGTCTGCGGTGCAAAAAGATATGAACGCCCGCAGCGATCAGGAACACCACATCAAACGGTTGTTGAGCCAGTGAATATATGTCCAATATATCTTCTGGATTCTTTTCGCAGTGACCCATGGTCTAAGAGTCTACTTGATGGACTTTCACCTTTATGTATACATGATGTATACTGTATTACCGTCAACGGGCCAGAGCCGATGCTTGCAATTCCCGAACACGTTGTCTGTGTGGCTGAGCTGCTTCAAGAAGTTCTCGGTCAAAGACTTGAAGAGGGGCTCGTCAGGACCTAAAAAAAAAACACCAGCATGGCAGCATGTCAGTATTTCTCTTTATCTTTCTCTTTCTCTCTCTCTCTCTCTCTTACTCTCCCTTCTGTCTCGTTGCCCCAGCTGGCCCTGCATGACCACATCACCACCATCCCAGGCTGACGACGACGACAACAACAACAAGCACACTTTCTTCATTTGCTTTGACTCTGCAAATCTGTGAAGCCGGAACGAGGAACGAGGAAAACACACAGAAAACATCAGAAAACAATCACTGTCCGACCGGTGTACCAACCTGAACGCCAACCTTATCACGCCGTCATTTCCCCCACACTTTCGCCACACATCAAAACTTGGAGCTCGTTCCGTTTGACTCCGTTTCATGATCCTCGAAGATCCCCATGTCGTCACTTCGACATACTCATTCGAGGGTGACACGAGGGTGAGGAGGCGCCCGTCCATGGACCTGTTGGACTTTCCGAGGCCCGGCCGGCCATGGCACCATAGAAGGTGTAGATGGATCCAGTGCCGCCCACGGCAGAGATGCCACCCTCCTGGCAACGCAAGAACGAATTCCCCACAAGAGGTGCTTGGGTGCAAAAGGGATGTCACACAAGATGTGGATTTTGCAGCTTTGTGCAACTTGACCAGTGCATCTGGGCTTCATTTGAAGCATTGGAACTCATGAAGCTTCTCGCGCGGAACTTGTGGTGCCCCCGAACTGGGGAGGGTCGAACTCAGGCCTTTGGCGGACCTATGCGTGCAGTTTGCTGCGATGTTCGAGCACAAGCTGAGCTATGGAAATGTGGACCTTGATTTATATAAGCTCCTTATAGTACATTAATGTTAGACCTTGAAATCATTGGAAAGTCCATAGACTGGAAGGTTAGAATCGCTAGTACAGCATGCATTGGGGGGTGCACTGCTCCGCTGGGCAACAAACAAGAGGTCAATCACTGCGACTGTCAATCCCGCGTCAAAGGAAACCAACAGCAAGCCAGCAAGCCAGCACGCTTGCGCCAGCACGTCAGCACGCACGCACGCAAGCAAGCAGGGGTGGTTGGATTCTATGATGATTTCCACTCTCCCCACCTCACAAAACACTGCAAATGGCGTGGTGTTGTGCATGCAAAGGCAATACAATGAACAAGTAATAGGACAAACCCTGTGCATATATATATAATACAATGAACATGCGGCATATTCCCTGTTCTTTGCCCAAAGCAGCTCCATGATAAGTGAACATCCCACGACAAATGAGAATCATAGTTTTTCAGTAGCTTCTCCGCTGGCCACGGCCAGATCGCATGTAAATGGTGACTGATTCTGAGGAAAACCCAACAAGTCCGTGTCGACAACAGTTGGTAAAGGAACTCCCACAAACATCGCATTCTTTTTGCTCCGAGCCATGTGATCTTCATATTCAATATATGATGACTACACTAGGCCAATTACATAACTTCTTTCAATAACCTTAAAAACTAGTCACTAGTCAAAACTTCCACTTGTGGCATCCACTCCCCTTAATTACCACTCCTCATTTTCTTGGTGCGCCCCCTTTCTGCGCCTTTCTGCAGGACCCCCAACCACCACTGCCACCGCTTCCCATGGCTCCGCTCCTTGGGCTTCTTGTGGATCACTCCGATCAGCGAGTCGCCGATGAGGTTGTAGCGGAGCTCGCCCTCGACGATGCGCGGGCAGAAACGCTGGTCCACCAACTGGCCGCCGGCCTCCTTTCCACCCTCCAAATACCTCACCGCCGACAGGAAGAAGACACGTTGGAAGGGTGGGGTTTGGTGTGGTGAACAAAAGAGATTCACTGATTCAGTTGTCTACTTGAATAATTATCAATGATTACCTTTGATTTGGCCAATCAAACACTGTGATCATGAACTGCTCATGATGTAAACAAATCAACATCTAAGAAACCTATAATAAGTCAACTGTGTCGTCCAACAACCCGGTCCATAAGGACCAGTCCATCTCTTGGTTCGACCAACAGTCGCGGCTTGCTGGCACGGTCGCGGCTTGATGTCCGTGCGACGTCACGCGGGTCGGTTCACCCGGGTCGGCACCCCAAAGGAATACAGTTGGGGATGTTGGGGAGTGTCTTCGAACGAAGCAACGGGTGATTTTGGGGAAATCCAGAGCACAAGCGAAGGAAGGTTTGACAGCCTAAAGTGAAGCACGTAACTCACGTCAAATGGTATATTTCTCACATGAAATACCTGAACCAACTCTGTCTACGGGCGATCATCAGCTGTCATCATCTACCATTTCACTCTTCGCTTGTACATCATCCGTTGATAGCTGCTCAACATTTTAGCATGCTCTCAGCCATGTGTCGCCGACCCTTCTCCACCCTTCCGTCCCAGCGGCTTGCCGACACCCTTGGAGGTCCACTCGCCAGACTTGTCTGTGCGGCCGTGCACGCAGAACTCGATGAATTCGCCGACCGTGTGTTCCTGACCGTTCGCCGACGGGTCTTGGATGGTCTTCCAGTTCACATGGAAGGCACTCGCGCGCCGTGGTGCCTACTGCCTGCTTCTTCTCCGAGGTAGGCGGTCCGTTCGCGCGCGGTCAGGCGTTGTTTGGTCGGAACTCCGTCAACGGTGGCGCGACCAAAGTATCACAGGAACGCTTATTGTATAAGGCTTGTCTAATAATATTTATAATACCAGCGTTCTTATGATTGTGTTGCCCCCTGCATCCCCTGGTTGAACCTGCCTGAATGATCCTGAATGCTGGTGACGCAGCCGCTCCCTCCAAAACTCTAGCTGTGTAAATGGCAGATAAATCCATCGCAAACTCGGCAGGCTGTCCCCTACATGTCATCCTGCAGCGCAAGAAGAATAATACATGCCTGGTTGCTTCTCGTTTGCTTCAACCTCATGTGTGCCATCAAACGAATCCGGAGCCTTTCTCTGTTTGAGACTTTGTGGATCACGAGGAATCTGCAGTGACAAAGCCAATTGGAAACTTGGATGGCAGGCCTTTTGTTGATTTCAATGGTCGGCTTCTGAGTCAGGACCTTCTGAATTTCACACTTTGTCCAATTTATCCGTTAGCTTTGGGCCAACAAGCGCACGCATGGGGACGGTCGCCATTCGGCTGCCTGTGCTTCACCGTCGATCGACTGGTCGACCAGTCTCGGTCGAAGGCCGAGCAGGCGAGAAGCACCGTCGCGGGCTTCCTTTGTTGGACACGCGACTGCTTGCTTCGCTGCCTTCGGGCTTCCTGATTGATCCCGTTGGATCCAAATGCGACCACCACATGTCGCGATGTCTTCACAGCGATTCGACCAGTTCAAGGGCGCCTGTTTGTGGTCTGAGTCAAAAGCGCCTGTTTGTCACACCCACAGTCTGTCGTGGATCCAAACAAACCTCTCATGAACTTAAAGGTTCTTCGCTCAATGACTCAAGGTGCCAATCCCGGCGTAAGGTCGCACATGCTTTGATCCTAAACTCACATTGTCGTGATGAATGGACCAAGTCCTTCATGGACGACATGATACATGTACTCGATATCGGTCAGGAATGGAACATTGCTGGACCTTGATCAAACAAATCAATGAGGCCACTCACTGCTCTCATATGATTCAACTTATATAAGGGATGTGACGACACAAAAATAGTATAGTGGTGAACTCGCACTGGCGTCGCAGCTCTTATTTCGCGGGACTTTGGCAAGCCTGTGTATGTCAAAAATTGTCAACCCCAAATAACCCAAACAACTGCCAGCAGTTGTAGAAAGGTCTTCCATGAGAAAGAAACGACACACGGGACCAATCACGAGAAATCAGTGTTCTGCGCCTCCTCATGGTTATCGTTGGCCTCCATGAGCATCAACTTCTCACCGTCCTCGCAAAGCCTCTCACCATACTCCTGACGAAGTTGGGGCCATACTCCGTCACTGACATGGTGGGAGTTAAACTGGTGGGTATGAAAATTCTTAATGCTTCAGTATCAAAAACATTCCAAAAACACTTGTTTACTTCCAAGTATGGCGCAACCAATGTCTTAGATTCGGTTTTCCACACGGAATGTCGAATCTACAGGGGATCGCTGGTATCATCTTTGGGGCGTCGTTGTCCATGTGTGAACTACACGCAAAGCACCAAAACTCTGAAACTCTAAACGAAATGATCTTGCACACATGTAGTAGACGGGTTTCGGACGGATCCTCTGCGGTTTCGTTGCTCGTGGGGGAGTTGGGAGGTCGTTCGATCGCTCTCTCGTGGGTTGGGTCGTTCTCCCCCCCGATTCTCATCGCTTTGTGTTGCACGGAAGAGAGCCATGGCTCCTTGCAGTAGTTCTCGTCCTCAGCACAAAGGAGAACCGCAAAGGGAATGAACATGAACAAGAATCAGGAAGCAGGGGTCGGAGATGGTCAAAGTCATCTCATGTTGAGACAACACCGTGTTGGCCGACCATAAGCCACAGAAAGCCGGAACTGTGTGGATGACATGTTTTTGTCCTTTTAAGTGGGTCTGCCAATGTCACAAGTCAAAGCCCAAAAAAAAATCAGGAGAATACATCTATTATATTTAATATCATTTTATATCATTTAATGAAGAACCCCAAAAGCCGGAGTATCTTACCCAGTTCTATGTATACTGACTCTATACTGACTCTTAGTTCCCTCCCAGGTGGAGCGAATGAAGAGAAGGCAACTAGGTGTCCTAAACGCAGTTCTATAAAAGTCGTGGGGAACCTTGCTTGTCATCCGATTGGATGCAGCTGCTGCAACCATTCTCTCTGAGGCTCCTTGAGCTTGACAATCCTTGGCAAGTTGGCTGAGAGACACACAGGAACCGTTTCCAATACACTCACGAGTCACAGCAAAAAATGTACTCAGGGAACTCCTTTTAACAAACCAGGATTGCTGGATCGCCCATGCAAAAGACCAAAACTTACCCTCCCCCACCACCAACACGGTGCCCATATGGATTCCAAATGATTGGTGTGGGAGAGGGCCCAGATCGTCCCGGTTCGGCAAGACTCCAAATGCCCTCGCCGGAGGAGCCCCGGTTCTGCTTGATCACACGAGGCTGGAAGGCCATGGTCTTCTTGAAGCCTGCAGCAAACTCCTCAGGAGAATAGTAAGTCAACGTGTCCTCCAAACCTTGGTTGAAACGGCTGTTTGGCGGCTGACTTCAGCCGCCCAGCTTGGCGGCGAGTCCGTATGGGATTGAAGTTGAAAGATCCTCTAAGAAGGGTTTTGTCGTGCAGAATGGATCGTCTCACATGTTGCAAAACACACTTCTGAATGGGCTGCGCTGAAATGTTTGGAACAGGAGGCACGAGGAATTTCAGGTGCACGAACCATCTCAGGGCTTTCGACAGAAGGGCTTTCCAAAACCCACCTCCTCCACCTCCTTCACCCCTCCTTCACCCCTTTCAATCGCCACACACCGGTGCCCCCCGTCTTCTTTGTTCGCCGTCGAGGACGAGCGGTCGGCATCCTCCAAGTGACCAATGTTCATTGTGGCCACCTTGCACAAGGCATCCTTCGCGCCCATCTTCTCCATGACGTCCGGGGACGGCCACACCTGCTTGCCCATCTTCCTGGCTGAGGGCGTGGCGAAGGAAAGCGGTTTGACCCGAAGCCAATTCGACAGCAAGTGAAGCGACCAAACCAAGACCGGTGCGTTATTGGTTATTTTGATAGTGCGGTTTGGTATGATGGCACCCAAAACAGCAAGCCATGTTCTAAGGAGAAGGATGTGATGCTGTAGAATGTAGTTATAGTTGGAGGATAAACCACCTCCAGTGCTGTGCACTCCAGCATATAAAATCATGCCACCGCTAGAAGTCTTGAGACTGTACGGTCCATCAATATCACGTGGCACTAAGGAACAGTGAGTTTGCCACCTAAGTTGTGAACTCAAAAACAAAACACAACTTGGGGAGACCTCCCAGTTGGATCCCCTGTGGAAGAATTGTGTTTCATACGTAGCCACAATACCAGCAGTTGATGACTGGTCATCTGATCTTACAAGTCAGGGTTCCGTCTCCCTGGGCGCTGTCGAAACCCTATTCTGTCCAAAGGCCTGGATTACAAGTTGCATGGATCTGGATCACATGTCTGTTTCCACCCCGCCAACGGTCGTCCGTCCTCAAGGCACGCATGCCATCATCAAACTTCTGCTGATCTCCCCCGTCAGCCTTGATCTGACCTCACGTGAAGGCGTGAAGACATTGGGCATCAGATGGCATCAGGATGTCCACAAATACCATGTCCTTGATCTAAACATCATCTAAACTCTAAACCCTCACCTGGCCCAATGAAAGTGAAAGTGATGTATGACAACAGAATGTCCACATGTTCCATCGACGTCATTCGTGGCACAAAGAAACATAGACCTAGTAAAAAGGCACACCTTTGGGAGATCGCAAAAACCAATTCCGCATTGACTATAGTGGTGACGTCCCAAAGTAAGTAAACACCCATGTCGGTTCAAAGACCTTGATCAAACCGAATCAGACCTGGGGGCCAGGGTAGACCGAAGGCCTGGATGTAGCAACAGTGACTGACTGCATTCACGGGTCACGGCAAGCAAGAACAGCCCTCATTCAAGGGTCATTGACACTGGACTGATTCCTACACTAATCAACACAAACACTGCATTGTGTACAAGTACTTGGGACTGCAAAAATCCTCCAATTGCCAGAGTTCAAGTCGGCAAACAAGTCAGCAACAAACTAAATTCTCACTCTGCTACTTTCGAGATGAATTTCTGTTGCAAGCCCGGGGTTGTTCAAGGTTTTCAGCCGCCTGGGTTGCATCGGACAATGACATAGTCGAAGCTCTTGCATAACTCAAAGAACTTGTCGTGCTCCTGAATAACATTCCGTTGGACTCTCCACAACAGCAAACCTCTATGCAGATGTAATGTGCTGGTCCTCACCCCGGGCTAGAAAACTGATGGGTCCAACAGCATGAATTTGCAAAACAACGAAACGTCTTCGAGGCTTCCAAGCTTCATCGGCACATCATAGCCCCCATGACTCAATCGACGCAAAACCGTTTGAACATGTTTCGGACTCTGACTGCTGAAGCCCGGGCCATCCCGGGCCCCGTCGTGTCAATAGCATGTTTCAACAGGTCACAACCTTCAACTAACCAGAGATACAACTGCAAAAGACTTCAGCGATTCAGGCAGTCCAAACTGGGTTCAGCAGGCCCCAAACTCCTATGTTTCCTTGATGGAATTATACTGTAACTGTTCCCTCCATTATATGTCTCGTAGCATTGGCTGCCAGACGGGTGGCACGGTGGCACTTCAACGACGTTGGGTTTTGTGGCAGTGGGCACTCCACACCCGTCCACTTTTCGCGTGCCGTGGGGTACTGCCAGCAATCCACCTGCCGTGTGGTGCTCGGTTTTTTTTTCAGGAATCCGCAGGTACGTGGCATTGATGGAACTGCGAACTCAGCTTGCGAAAAGCAGGTCGATGGAACCAGAAGCACCAAGCTCAGCCTCGATTCTGCCATCTATTGGCTTCTCTCGGTTAGGTTTCCCAGCCATGTTCATGCCATACCATTTTAGATCCTTCGAGCATCCTCCATTTGTGGACCCGAGCCCCAAGGGCTGGCCAGGGTGCTTTTTCGCGTTGGAAAAATAGCCGTCCAACTGAGGACCCATCTTCGAGCGCTCGGGTGGGATGTGGGGATCGGCAGGGGAGCATGGTGCTGAAAAACATCCTCCCCCCCGAAGCGCATGGATCAGCATGGGTGCCACACCCATCGAACGAGCGTCTTATGATGGTGCATGGATCTCCATGACCTGAAGGCGCCAGGAGAGAATAACAAAGTAGAGGCGATGAACGCGATGATAAATGATGATAATGTATGACCATGTAGTGAATCCAATGACAATTGCGAAGAAAAAGGACGACGATTGCACGGAAGCTGGGCCATCTACAAGATGAAGCACGTGAGCTGGGCCATCTACTGGGCAACCGTGCCTGTCTCCTAAGCCATCTGGCCTCTCCTAAGCCATCTGGCCCTCCGTGCCCAGAACGTGCCAGGTCCGAAAGAAGGCTCCTCGTGGGTGTAGTGGATCAGCTGACAGCTCATGCCTGCTGAAATCATGCCGTTCACAATGGGAATCGAGTCGTAGCCTGGAATAGCGTCCAACGTCGCGAATGCGAGGAGATGGAGCGAGCGCGGCGCTGAAGCAAGGGAAACAAATGCGTAGAATCACATACATGCACATGTACCAAAAGTTATTTCTCTAACATACACATGCAGTTGCACATGTCGTTAAATTATGTTAAATTTGGCACACAAACACTTATCCACATATCCTCCTTGGTACTTACCAAGAGGATCCTTGCCTGGAAAGTCCAAGCCTGCCGGTGGTCAACCTAGTTCACAAGGCAGCCTTCCATGTCCTAGGGACCTAGACCTATAAGAAGAATGGTGCATCAACTGCCCCCTCAAAGACAGACCTGGCGAGAATCCATCGCCCTGCCCCACAAAAGGCAATCTTCTGAAGGAAGGCCTTTCTACGCACTGTGAGCTGCGAAACACTTTGCTGCAGCTGAGTCCTGACATGAATCTAAGGTGCATCCAACGGATCCCCCACTCCTAGTTTCTTATAGAGTTGAAGAGTTGCAATGCCTTGCATACAAACATGGGTCAGCCTCGATACATGAAATACGATGCTTTCCTGTCGCCTGTCTCCATTTCAGTATCCGACCCACTCGATGTGTGGAATTTACAGTAGAACAACAGCGTGCAACAGCTCGAAAACGGCTTTTGGGACTTTCAGGAGAAAAGTGTTCCAGTAGAAAGGCCAATTGCAACGTGACTGAAGATGCTGAGTCCCAAATCAGATCATCCAATCAGAACCCCAAGCAAAACTAGCCATCAGCTCCCACGTGTGATCCCATGCGATCCGCTTCAGTCAAGCGAAGTCACGGTGGCCATTGTTGCTCTTGTCGGAACCTCCATAGGGCTGGCTTCGGACGTAGATCTGGGCCAAGGCACCCTTAAACTTGGGCGCGCTGGGCTGATCCAACCTCAAGAGGTGGGCCCAAGGTTGGACCGAGCAGTTTTACGAGTGTTACAAACTCACAACCTGTGTATGACCTCTATTTTGGAGGATCAACTATCCAACATATGGGCCTTGTCCTATTTCAACAAGGAGGTCAAATTGGTTCTAGGTCTAGGTAAGCAATCTGTATAGTAGATAAATAGATAATGATGATAATGATATAGACACACGTAGTGTTCTTTTTGATGGGATTGGATGAACATTGCAGCAGCTTGGGCGCTTATCCAAGCTTCATGTGTGTCTTACAAGGGCCAATGGTCCATATCCCTCTTCGGAAAGTTCAAACGTCGGCTCAGCTCGACGGGGTAAGTCTGAGACCATCTCAGCAGGCTGGTCGAGGCGGGTCGATCGATCACCCGGTCGGGCTCGGTGGGGGTTCCAAGGAGAGATGCTCGATCGATCAGCTGATTTGCTCCAAAACAGGTGCTCCAGGTGCTGGGTTTTCTCCAATCAGCTGGTCCCAGATGTCCCCAGCATCAGGGGGTAACAACGGGTCCTGCTCCTCCCGCTCCAAGCAACATACCCTTGTAGTCCTTGGCCACCACCGTGATGCCGCTGCAATCCACAGGGCCAGGGCATGGATCTTTACGGTCCTGACGCATCGCGATGGGTCAGTCAGCATCCTCAACCGTCCTGACCATCATGGCTGACCGTCCTCACCATCCTCAATGCACTCCGGCGGTCGGGTAGTGATGTGAACTGCTGTTTGGATCACTGCGATCAACTCCAAACCCCAACTCAAGTAAGCCCCAGTGGTGTGGTGTACCAGTCGAAACCTCATCATTTCTCAAGCAGGAGCATCTTGAATACGGACCAATGACTTCTGGTCACCGTTTGCACCGGGAATCAAAAAAACACACACACAAACACACAAACAAACAAACAAAATTGGTCTGAATCAACATAAGGAGCCCAGCCCGGTATGTTTGGATAATTTTGGATGGTGGTATAGATTTGGGGCACTGATGTCATCTGTCTCATGAGCATCAAGTTCTTCATGCAATGGCCGCCCTTTCTTCGAGGCAAACACTTCGACCCAAACACGGTCGTCGTCCGTCCCCCGTCGAGTTGGCCGGTCTTCCGGCTGATTACATGTGGTCGATCTCCATCGATCTGAACAGGGAAACAACAGAAGTGTTAACCGTCAAGAAAAGGAATTCAAACAACAAGGAAGAAAGGGAAAATGTTCTTTTCCTTTCTTCACATACTGATATATAGGAAGGTTCCAAAAACGCAACATCCCCAAAGTCAAATGAACCAACAAAACATCCAACATCTTCCCTCAAACACATACCTTCTGGCTTTTCTCAAAGGGTTTTCATTGCCGCCCACCTTTCACACCCGCCCCCCAAAAAAAAACGAAAACCACATGCCAAGAATCCACGGCGGCCCAAACCTTCGCAAGCTGATCCTTGGATGTGGCGCGCCTTCCTTTGGACATTTGGAGGGAACATCACCGGCAAAAAACATAGGACGATGAACTGGAGGGAATTCCAGCTGGTGGAGCTGGAATCGAACTGACCAGGTGGTGGACATGGAGGTGTGGAGGGGCAAGTGATCAGCAGTGTCAGGGGTGTGGGGACTGTCAGCTTGGGGGCTTACACAATTTGCATATACAATTCCCTACAAATTGAGATTTGCACAATTCGGAACTCATCTGGATCTCCAATTGGGTATGGATCGTCATACAGACTTTTGTTTTGAACAAAGCACCCGTCTTCCACTGTTCCCTTCCCTAACTTTGGAGATTACCGGCAAGCAATATGCAAATCACATTACCCTGGTCATTACACTTGTTAGATTGGGTAGTGATCCTAGCTAGGAAACCCTGCTATTTTTGTTGGGGGGAATGTCCTTCAAAAATCCAAATCCCAACCACTCCCAACCAACAATGTCACCCAGCGAAACCACCTGGGTGTGTAGTTCAAATAGGGAGACCGACACCAGGCGGGTTCGGCTCGGGACATACCAGTCTACCCGTGACCCAGCCACGGCCAGGGGGTCTCCCTGGCGCAGGTCCATCCCATGTCGTCCATCCCCGGTGGCCCATCCGGTGACGAGATGGGATGGTCGTCTTGTAGCTAAAGGATCCCATCTGGGGAGGATACATGACATGAGTGACTGGAAAGATCTTTTGCCCCACGGTGTCTCCGAATCAGCAAAACGACGTATATAATGGTTATGTAATGCGTCTAATCTATATATATACAACGATATAATATAAATATATGCATGTGTATATTATACATATAAAGAGCATTATAGAGCTACCTACAAAAGATCTCAGTAAGCAATTATTAGACATCCTATCAAAATACTGTGCGCCCGCACACACACGCCAACACACACACTTTTATGATTTGGTGTACCGAACTGAAAGCGGTGCCACACGCCAGCCTAGGTTACCATTTCCTAAGAGTACAACGGATCCTGGAGGTCTTCAAACGGAGAAGGGGCCAAAAGCGCAAGTCGAGATCGAAACGACAAATGACGACGTACGTGCATGTCTGCGGAACGCAAGTAGCACTTTACGACTCACCTCTGCAAATGTTAAAATTCAAGCAGGTACACAGAGCTGATCAGGCTCTGCTTCCAGCACAAGTGGATAGCTTCGTTGGGCGCAGTCTCCACTGTGCCCTGCACCCCCCTGCTCGGCAAAATGAAAACAAAAACAAAACAATCCAAGAGGATCCCTGTGACTACAAGGGGCACACACACACACACTTATGATTTTGTGTACTGACTTGACAGCGGGGCCACACGCCAGCCTAAGAAACCAAATCCTGAGTCCCACTCTAAGGTCCCGACAGGAGGGAGGGGTAGGGAGAAAGGAAAAGAAGGTGTTCCCAGCTACGACACAAGCGTCCAAGGACACACCAAGAGAAAAGAAGGGTTCCCAGCTATGACGAAAGCATCCAGGGACACCCAAACAAGAAGGAGGGAAAGGAAAGGAAGGAGAAAAGAGAGAGAGAGGGAAAAGAGAGGAAGAGGACAGGTGTTCCCAGCTACGAACAAGCGTCCAGGGACACACCAGGGAGAAAGGGGTGGAACACCCACCAAAAAAGGAAAAGGACACAAGCGTCCAAGGACACACCAAGAGGAAAGAAGGGTTCCCAGCTATAACGAAAGCATCCAGGGACACCCAAACAAGAAGGAGGGAAAGGAAGGAAGGAGGGAAAAGAGAGGAAGAGGGAGGACAGGTGTTCCCAGCTACGAACAAGCGTCCAGGGACACACCAGGGAGAAAGGGGTGAACCTGAGTATTACATTCAGGAACACCCCAACAAGCGACGGGGGAAGAGAGGGGGTGGGGGAGGAAGGGGGACTAAGCTCTCGACAGGTTCCAATGAACCTTGAACAAGCTTCGGCCGCTGCGGCCACGTACGCCGTGCCAAAATGGCTGGCTGCTTAGACCGCTGCGGTCACGTACAGGCATGAGCCACTTTGGAATTCAATAATCCGTGAGGTCTTGGCAAGTAACTTTGGCATAAGCCTCCTACGCCCGCTCTGGGCACGAACATCTCCGGGCAGGGGAGATAAAGACAAACCCCCGTTCGATGGGTCCACGTGGGCTCTCACTAGGAGAGACACACTTATGATTTTGTGTACTGACTTGACGGCGGGGCCACACGCCAGCCATCGCCAGCCCAAGAAACCAAATCTTGAAAAGTCCAGGAGAACCCTATGGAGCCTGGAGGTCTTCAAAAGGAGAAAGGGCCAAAAGCTCAAGACCGAAAGCGACGAGCAGGTCGAGATGACGTCGTACGCTCATGTCTGCCAAGCTCATTAGCACTTTACTGGAAATTGGAGTCAAAGCTTGTTCAAAAGTTCAAACAGCAAGTACGTGCAGCTGATTAGGCTGCAAATCCTGAGGTCACCATAGAGAGCTTCGTTGGGCACAGCTCTATGGGCCTCCTGTGCCCCCCCTGCTCAAAACAATTCAAAAAGAATCCCTGTGACTACAAGGGGCACACACACACACACACGCGCCCCCCCCGAGGGGAGGCGAGAAAAACTAAGGTAAGGGCAATGTGCACGTGTGTACGCAGCAAAGACAAAAAGATGAAGACATGAAGAGAAGACAAGACAGGACAAAAAGTACGTAGTTGCGATGAAAGGGGAACCAAGTGCACAGGGACAACCAATGAACCCCACCTCATTGTCAAGACCTGGGCGACCTGAAGCCTAGGTTGCAAATGTATGTAAATGTGCACGTACACACTAAGGCCAGGACCGATGTGTGCGCAAACGAAAGAAAGGATGAGATGACAAAACATGAAGACAGAAGGACATGAAAGAAAAGAGGAAACAAAGTGTGTGAAGGGGGAAAAAGATGAAAAGGGAAACAAATGGAGGAGACGAAAACCAATGAGCCCGAACCTCATTAGAAACCTAGGCAAACCTGTTGAACAAGTACGTGCTGTGTGTGCACCTGAGGTAGCGACGGGTCCCAATGGACCCGAAAATTGCTTCGGCCGCTGCGGCCACCTATGCCGTGCCAAAATGGCTGGCTGCTTTGACCACTACAGTCACGTAACGGCATGAGCCAGCTAGGAATTCCAGAGTTCAGCAAATCTTAGTACTTTCGGCCTAGGCCACCTACGCTCGCTGCGAGCTGCTCTGTATCCGGGCAGGGGATACGTTCGACAAACCCCCGTTTGACGGGTCCACAGGGGGCACTCTTCGGGCTCACCCTGGACTCTCACTAGGAGAGACACACTTATGATTTGGCGTACTGAACTGAAAGCGGTGCCACACGCCAGCCTAGGTTACCATTTCCTAAGAGTACAACGGATCCTGGAGGTCTTCAAACGGAGAAGGGGCCAAAAGCGCAAGTCGAGATCGAAACGACAAATGACGACGTACGTGCATGTCTGCGGAATGCAACTAGCACTTTACGACTCACCTCTGCAAATGTTAAAATTCAAGCAGGTACACAGAGCTGATCAGGCTCTGCTTCCAGCACAAGTGGATAGCTTCGTTGGGTGCAGTCTCCACTGTGCCCTGCACCCCCCTGCTCGGCAAAATGAAAACAAAAACAAAACAATCCAAGAGGATCCCTGTGACTACAAGGGGCACACACACACACATGTTGTAACTCCAAGTTCCACCCCGGTACCTCCACCGCTGCCAAAAAGCTCACTGATTCGCTCTTTCGGCTGCCAATTGTCTGCCGAACCGACTTCGGAAACCGCGACCGAGGCGCGGGCGGCAACTCCTTCAAGGCCGCGGCGATCTCCTCGGGGGACTTGCCCTCGATCCTCATCGACGGTCCCAGCGGAGCCGCGGAGTCCGAGGGGAGTCGAGTCCGCTGAGAGGTCGGTGCTTGGCGAGGAGGAAGGGGAGCGGGAAAAGGGTGGTTTGCTGGAAGGAAAAGGTAAAAAAAGCATCAAACTGGAATTGCTTGCATAGAAATCCACAGATTTTACCAAGGATTGAGTAGCTGCTGGCCGCTCAACGCCTGTTTACGCGCTCTTTGGTCTGGTAGTTCACATCCCGGATTGTGGGGCCCCACTTGTGAGCATCTTGTTTTTATTGCGCTCTACCACATGCAGTTCCAGCCTGCTTAGCTGTCGATCTTGTGAGGTTTCGGCAGTTGAGTTGTGTGTGTTTTTTTCGTGATGTAAGGTACCAGTAATATAAGCAATTTTATTGGTGCCTACGCCAAGCCTACTCTCTGCCTACGGGCTCACAGATTTGGCCTACATGCAGGTCGAAGTTAGGATAGGTTGCCTACGTGGCCTACGCGCGTGGAGTTTTTGTTAATCACTGCATGGTGTTGCCTACGCGGCTACAGTTTTGGAAGCTTTTCGTTGTTTTCGGTTTCGCCTATTGTTTTGCAATTCTGAAGAAAGAGGAGGCAATGAGAATAACATGCTGTTTTTTAGTTGGCTTGAAGTGGTTTGACAGGTGCAGCCAGCAAAGCAGGCACACATTTTTGATCATTTTTGTAATACGCAGCTATGCAGATGATTCAGATGTACTTGAAGTAGACGAAGAAAACACTTGAGTTCGACTGCGTTGGGTTCCTTCTTAGCCATGGCGAAAGGCCTACTAACGACAAAGTTGGATCATGTTGGATCATATTGGCCCAACCTGTGGTATGTCCCATGGTTCTCTACTCCATTAGCCACTGCATGTTGGTTTTGCTAATATCTTTCCTACTCCTATCCAAGTAGCATTTGAAATATTGAGAAGTCATACTGATTAAAGTCTTCCTGTATGAATCTTCTTGACCCGGGCTGGGAAATGCGTCGCCTACGCGGCTTCTGCCACAAACAAAATGCAAAACATGCCTACGCCAGCCTACGCCCCCAAGCAGAATGCTTACATCCAACATCATCCAACCATTTGCAGGTCAACCCTTATATAAATCTTTACATCTACTTAAAAAACAAAAAAATCTGCTCAGTTGACGATTCCTCTGTAAAACCCCCTGGTTTGCTGGTGTCTATGCATGTGGGATCCCCTTTGTTGATCAGTTAGAAATTAGCCCCTTGTTGTCCATCGACTTGGATATGTCGGATATGTTCATTGTGGCCGATTTTGACCATACACAGGTCAATAATTCTCGTGGAATCTCTTGGGGGATGTGAATGCAACAGTTTGATCCCTTTGGTTGCTAACAAGTTATATACAATTACACATATTCACCAAATAAAGTGTTCCCCTCTGGGTTGGTTACACCACAGAAAGGAAAACAACTGACAACAACATACAACAACTACTGTACGTACCCTGGCCAGCTGTTTGTACCCCGCATACAGGTACTTTGACTCTTGGCGTCCTAGTTAATCAAAAATTCTATCACCCAAACAGAGCCAGCCAAGTCTCATGTTCTTATGCTCACTGGAGGCACCACTTCCCATGCTTGGATGAGGCAAAGAATGCGGGGAGCTGAGCGGTTGTTTGGGCTGAAAAGGCTGCGCGGCGGTTGCGCACTGCCATGCAATGCAATGCAACCCTTCAGGTGGATGGTGTGCAAAACCTGTCCAAATCCGGAGCCCTTGACGACACATGGGAGTGGGTCCAAAACGAGGAGATCTGACATGCCAAGGCAGGTCAATCTAACAGGGTTTGGAGCTTCAGGTGTTGACTCCCCATATGTTGGCACATGTCGAAAGGTCTGTGCTCTTTCTCAACTCCATCTGCTTCATCTGGATTCTGTGCCACTTTCATCTCCTGAAGCCTTCTCCCTTGGAATTGCCAGTCCACTCTGATAAAGGATAGTATATCCCAAACACTCCTGGTATGCCATATTTGCATTACATTGGGGTGCTTTCCGGGGTCATATTTTCGGGGTGGCTTCCAGTACTCAGTATATATATATATATATTCCATTCATGGAGTGTCTAGGTATGATATGGGTATGATACTATCTATCACAGGTGTTTGCTCCTCAAAGACCTGTGAGAACCAACCGCGCGACACCTGGACACGCGGACGCCTCATAGCCCCAGCGGAAGTGACTGGTACGAGCCGACGGGCACGCATAGGTCTGCTCCTTCGGGCAGTGTATGAGTGAGAAGCAGTGTAAAGTGAGAACATGAATATGAACAAAGATCAAGAGCAAAAAAGAAAGAAAGACATCAAATACTCCATTCCCCTGCATCGGACTGGCGCCGGAGCCTCTCGGGGCGCCCGGACTCGGCCTCTTCGGGGCACCACACGAAGACCGGCACAGCGATTTCCACTCTCGGCCGCCCAGTAGAGCGCCGGATTGTCGCGCAGGCGGAGGTCGCCTGCACGTGACAACAGACTGAGACCATGTTTTACCAAAAATATATGTAAGAAATTGTAAGAACTAACACACATCATATATATATATATATTCTGTTGTTAAGCAATGTTAAACAATGACAACAATATGTAAAAAAACATATTAATTTAATATAGCACGAAGGCATGTTTTGTTTATTACAGTTGTTATTTTTGTTTAACAAGATTACTGTAAGATTGTCATATATATTGTTGTTGAGAATATTATTCAAGACATGTTGAATCGTCTCACGTCTCACCTGCATGTGTCTTCTTTGGTTCTTTTTCTCCTTTGAGTGTTGGTAGACATAGGAATTCCTGGGCATCAGTGAGATGAGGACTCGGACGGTTCTTGGGGGTTCCATCCCACGACCGGTCACCGAGAACCGTCTGTGGGAGCACGGTGGTCACGGAGCACGTGGCGATTGGCCGAAACGGACACCCCGGAGGTCCATCGTTCCCGCTTTCGGTGTCACTTCGTCCCCAGAGGTCGTATCGATGAAAACGGCTGCGTCACTCACAGACGCTGCGTTTGACAGACGCCAGCGAGGGAACATGGTAAAAAATCCACCAATCTAGAGGATCATCACAAAGAAGGGTGTGGTAGTAACCAAATATCATATGGCTGTCCAAGTACATAGCCACCACGTTTTGGACACCTCTGCAATCTCATGGCCGCCCACCCTGGCTGCAATTTTGGCACCTATGCGCAGCCATGCGATCGAGGGTGCAGCCATCGCATCAGCGATACACCCAAGTTGGTACACAAAATCAAACCGTGCAGTTAACATGGGCGGACTAATTGCCCTTTCGTGTCTTTTCCGTGCCCAGGAAAGAGGAGCTCTAGAGAACATCAACATCATCCCGTGGAAATCCAATCAGCTGCCTTTTCCATTCAAAGCATTGCAAGGAGTCTGCCGAACACCCGTTGTCCGTGTCTTTTCGTGTTTTCTTTCTTTCTTCGCGTCAGAGTGTTTTTTTTTCCCGTCTCCGTCTGTTTTCATCGGATCACCAAACGACGTCTGGACGCGTCGTCTGGAGCCATCACCGGCGCGGCGGAACGGCCCCGCGACAGACGCGTTTTCCGTGTCCGGCCCGCCATCCCGGAATGACGGTACGAGCGGTGGATTTCTCTGGTGGCGGTGTGCTTTTGGCAAAATATATACTGTTTTTACTTAAAGAAATCAAACGAACTTGTGTGTCGTTGTCTATAGAAATCCCCAAAGCGTACACAGGCACCTATTCCTACACTTGAAGAGCCCCAATATATAGCTGTGTCACTATCTGGGAAAAACATAGCGCACCTCAAGCGCCATGCTAGTGTTTGTAGCTGGTGTTTTCGGAAATTATCGTGCGTGCCGCTTCACAATTTGCGTTTGAAACATACCATCACAATCCATCACAAAAGTAATTAATAGTAAATATTATATAATGTTGCCATGTTCTATAAACTCCTTAGCACAGACTTTTGGCATCCAAACCATATTGAACCCTTCAATCCTGACGAGGCCACCTGCCTACTCTGCCCCTGAGTCTCCGCACAAGCCGTGGCCGGCGACAGCTGTGGTGGTCGTGGTCGCAGCAGCCGCTGCTGCTGCTGCTGCTGCTGCTGCTGCCGTCACCCCTGCAGTTGAGGGCGCTCCTGAGATTGGATGAAGCGTCCCCACATTTTGTAGAGCAAGACATTGAGTCAGAAGGTGTATGAAGATGTACCAGTAGGCAATTTCACCAATTGTCCTCGGTTTAAGCCACGGTTGTTTTGGGTGCATTTTATTGCCCCGAGAAATATAGGTTACAACCGAAGGATATCTATTGAGAAGATCAGCACTTTTTCAAGAGGGAGGGGTGGGTGGCAATTCGGTTCACGAGAACTGTACGATCGATTCAATTGATGGAGGACAGATTAGGAAGACCACTGCATAGCCCTGTGGCCCTTTGAGTCCAAGATTATCACAAAATCTGTCGTTTCCCAAACCCCAAAGCTTCGCACAGAGTCCAGAGATTCACGACAGCAAAGATTCTGAGATCACGGCGTGGTCTTTGCACGGCGGGATCCTCTCATGGGAGGAACAATCACGTGCATGCGTTTGTTGGAAAAGAATACGTAAACTCGAGGCCCTCTAAGCTTGGGAAGCCAGGTTCGATAAATTCGTTAAACTTAAAGGTGCTGTACCCGTGGTACTGTTTAGACCTGCTTAGTTTGCGTTCGAATCCGTCAACATGACCTGAAGCATTGAAGGCTTCAAAGTACCACCGAGAACCAGCCTGAATGTAAAAAGAACGTGTTCCCTAGCAATCGGTGACGAATTCAATTTCTGACAGCCCTGAGAACATGCCAGGAACAAGTTGTCTGACCACCGCTTCGTTTCTGACTCTTATTTGGCTTCCAATTGTAGGCCAAGCAACAGCTTTTACAGGTTCGGGTGCCCAGGGATGAAACACAACAAAGCATGTTGTCACTTTCATATCGGTGAGCGTCCAGAAGACCTCCATGTCAATCTCTCTCAAACTGAACAATTACCTACCTCCATCCTACCTCCATAGAAAAAGCATCTTTGGAATTGTGCCATCTACGTACTCTGAAACCACTGTACGGACTACGGACTTCATCGGACTTCATTCAGTCCTCTCGTCCTCTCCCGCAGAAATGGTCAACTGAGATAGAAACATACAGGACGATTCCACACGGTAAAGCAGGCATCTTTTTCC